TCTTTCAATCAGTTTAATTGAAGTCTGGAGCTGGCATGTCAGTTAACTGCTAGTAGTCTGTTGTTATTTATGTATTATTGTCATTTTGTTTATTTTCTTTGGTTACATCTTCTGACATCAGACTCGGACTTCTCTTGAACTGAATTTTAATGTGCGTATTGTTATGCGTTTACTTTTCTACATTGGCTAGAGGTATAGGGGGAGGGTTGAGATCTCATAAACATGTTTAACCCCGCCGCATTTTTGCGCCTGTCCCAAGTCAGGAGCCTCTAGCCTTTGTTAGTCTTGTATTATTTTTAATTTTAGTTTCTTGTGTACAATTTGGAGTTTAGTATGGCGTTCATTATCACTGAACTAGTATATATATTTGTTTAGGGGCCAGCTGAAGGACGCCTCCGGGTGCGGGAATTTCTCGCTGCATTGAAGACCTGTTGGTGGCCTTCTGCTGTTGTCTGTTCTGTGGTCGGGTTGTTGTCTCTTTGACACATTCCCCATTTCCATTCTCAATTTTATGTATAACATTGATAAAAGAGTGGTGAAAATACAACTGCATAGTTATGTTATTAGTTACTGAATTTTCGATGGCATTTTTAAACACCGTGTACAAAACATGAGAAATTGTGATAAGGGAATGTTGTATGATAGTTAATGAAATAACTATCCATCAAACACAAAAGGAAAAGGATAAATAAACAACTACAGACCATCCCTCCTTCAACAATGAGCACAACCCACACCGTATAGTAAGCAATAAGTGTCCGTTCTTATTTTGAAGATGACAACTACTCGCTATCAGACGATCTTTTACGACATTGTATGACGTAAAGGAGGCAGTCAGCATCATTAATGATAACATTACGTATTATTTATTATTGTTTTCATTACATAACGCGCCTATTAATTAACGTAATATGTTTATTAATTAGCTGGTTTTTGTTTCTACACTGTAACCTTTGGTGACCTCTTAAGAATGGAGCTTTACCATTAAAAGAACCAGTATCATCAAAGAAGACGCACATCAAACTCGATAACTGTGTTGCTGTAGTCCTGTAGCTTTACATGAGACTCTGGATGGGGTTAACAGAAAGAGAATAATAAGCAAAAAATGCAGAATAAAGGGCAAAACAAATACAGAATAGAGAAAAATAAGTAAGAAAACAGAGAATGAGGAACAATTTAGTGTTGAAATATTAAGAATAGAGAATGATTGGCAAAACAAAGGAAGAATAGCGAAAAATGGCCTAAAAAATTAAAGAAAAAGATTTTGAGGTTTTTCGGGTATTTTAGCAATCTGCTGTAAGTGATATTATGACAAACTTTTTAAAAAATCTTCATTATTTGTATGAAAAATAAAATCACATCGGCAGTGTTTGCATTTTGCTTGATCCTAATGTTTTGTGTATGTCTAATGTTTTGTGTAATGTTTTGTGTATGTCTAATGTTTTGTGTATGTCTAATGTTTTGTGTATGTCAGTTGGGTGTTGATAGGAAATATTTCATTGTTTCTGTTAAATTGATTCACAACTTCTAATGCATCGGAAAGATAAATGGCCTGAAATACTGTATAAACACCTGTATATTGTATAAACACCTGTATATTGTATAAATACCTGTATGTTGTTGAAGACCACATGTGTTGCTTTCTTGGTATATTTTTGTTGTTTTAGCGTAGGAATTTTGTCTCATGGACACATAACACACATCTGCTATGATTCATATATATATATGATACCACAGGAGATCTGTTTTGACCATCTACCCTAAAGGTATAATATGACAACTATAGTTTATAACCTTCCTAATGATTATTTATTTTGGGTTGAAAATAAAATGATTTCCGGACGTCATTTCCGTCATTATCATCGGTTTTAGACCAACTACATCCGGCTTCCTTCAAAATTATTGTTGGGAGGGTTTACATTTTCACAAATAATCCTATAAGTTTAACTTACAACACAAAACATGACCGTCAATTCATAGGTCAAAGCAGCTGAACAAGTCAACTTGATTTAACCTACAAAATTTTTTTAAAAAAATGAGGAGATATCTGTTTGACAAAATTATGTTCTCCAGAAGGATAAGTGATTTCTGCTCCACCGTGACACCCGTCAAGCTGCTCACGATGAAAATCCGTTAGTGGGAAACCAAGTATGAAGGCAACGACGGGGTCAGACAAAAAGCGATTGCAATCCGAGAAAACTGTCCAGCTTTTTTAATGCTCGACTTCATAAAACGACAAAACCAATACTAAAAATCCAGACTTAAAATAGACGTACTATAGTTCACTTCAGTCACGGACCCGAGATGTTGCGAATGTGTTCTAGTATTGTTGACTAATAATGTTTCTATTGTTCTGAAATTAATAATAAGTTACTCCATTCTCATTATATAATTTGATCTATTAGCAGAGAAAGAGGGTATATACATAATTATTAACATTACACATAAATAATTGGTAATAATTATAACAGACGTAAATTCTATCCAATTCATGCAAAGCAAAGTTATCAATATATACCATCTGTTCAAACCCAGAAATAGTCGCTTACAACATTGGTGAGGCCGTTTACTGTCACATCAATGTAGGTAAAGACACAATGAGAATGAAGACTATTGAAGCGATAGTGATGTTATCCATCTCAGTCAAGACAATTTTATTATTGCTTATATAGATGGACATTAATTGTGTGCAAACATTGTGTTATTCTTAACTTCTAAGAAGATATGAACGTTATTTTTTAGTTTCGGATTCCACACGCGATGAATTTTATTGTCACATTCTAAACAAACAAGAACTAGTGCAACTCAGCAAGAATCTTGAAAATGTACTTTTGAAATAAGTCCTTTCACGTTGAACATTGCAATTAACAGGGGTCACCTGCCTGCTTTATATTTTGATAATTTTATAACACTCTGATCCAATGTCAACTCTTCGCGACAGAATCAGAGGATCACTAGAAAGGAATTTTAAAGAGAATATACAACGGGCCGTTGTCAGATCATTTTAAGCGAATTGAGGACATATGATCTATATTTCAATGAGATTGGTTTCATTATATGTTTTTAGTTAAAAATACCTACTGGATTTTCTCGCTGCATTGAAGACCCATTGGTGGACTTCGGCTGTTGTCTGCTCTTTGGTCGGGTTATTGTCTCTTTGACATATTCCCCATTTCCATTCTCAATTTTATCATTTAGTAATTTAAATGAAACAAATATTGAATCTTAATATCTTGCATAAATCGTGCATTTCATTTTATTTCACACACATTATTAGAAAATCAAGGATCTGCTATATATTTCTCAATAATAAATGTGTCATTAAATTCGTTTTTGGATGAAAGCCAGTTTGACGGCGTAAATTGTCGTATATACAATGCCGCTTGTAACATTGACGACTGTCTCGCAGAATCAGCAAAAATCTTTTTATTACACATTACCATGGTTATGTCGAAAGCTTTATTATTTTTTATTCATATACTAATTATAAGATCTATCTACCAATGCCATCATTTTAATAAATTATGTTGACGCTGTACAAATAGCTTTGTAAGAGAAGTTGTGAAGATTGGTACTTCTGAACAAAAGTCATGACGATTTGTCACTTTTGTGTAATTTGACATAGTAATTTACTATTCGCTTAAACTGCATGCTTATCGAAAATATGGGCAACTAGAGGTTTTCTCCCGTAGAGTTGTCCTGTAGTTCCAATAAATACGATAGACACTTTTCCAACTCCTCTTAAATGTGGCCTGTGCAGGGAGCAATTTCTGTCCATCATAGCCGCTTTTCCATTTGCAACCCACTCTGCAGAGCCTACACATTTGACGTATTGTCTATTTGCTCTTATATATATGTATAAATATTTGCCACTAAATGTTTATTAAACCATAGTCAATCAATCAATCAAAGTAACACTTTTAATCTTGCAAGATTTAGTGATTCGCAGCAGAAGCATGCTATTAAATCGAGGAAGCAATTGACTGATGCCTCTTTCCATGTAAAAGAACAACACCGTTCCAATGTCCCCGACGGATTCACATAATTTATCTGTTTAAAGGCAATAACTCCGTTCTATATATTATTTTTTTATTCGTTTAAACTTTCAGTTCAAAAATATCCTCCAAGAAATGTACCCGTGAGATATCTTACAATGCAATTTGCATATAATTTTTCCAAGGGGCATAACTCCTTTAAAAAGAGTTGATCGGCACCGAATTTCAAACTCGTTCCAGACATTGACAATAGCAACCTTCAAAATAAATCTCATAAGAGTCAAGAAAAAAATATATGCGTGAGAACGCTGAAAAGACCGAACGCACGGAAGAAATAGGAAAGAAAAAATAAAATGCACAATGAACATAAATATTTAAAGAATACAAGGTAGCAATAAATCTGAAAGAAAAAAGGAGAAATTAATATATGAAATAGACACAATCGACAGGCCCAGAATGGTACGGTCTTCTAAGGAACTAAGACAATGTTATGACAATTTATCAAATTTACAGCTGTTTTCTTAATTACACCCTATTATTGGTGGGCTCAAATAACCAATTAAATCTCTTAAATGATGCACTCAAAACAATCATTAATAAGAAGTATACAGTCATGCGCGAATTTCATTAAATATTGGAAATAGATGACAACAAATCCATGCCAACTTACTTTCATTATGACTTTATTCAAGAACACTTACAACAACTCTTTGAGAGCTCTGTATAGGCGGCCCGTTGAAAGACAAAATAGAGGCCCTGGTCCAATATTCACTGCCCTTTATCCCGGCCACTCTACAGCTGTCGGTATTGATAATTGTTTCTGGCTCTGAATAGTAAAATGCGCCAAAAGATTTCGCGTTCTTGGGAATCTTTAAACTGAGTATTTATGTCATTAAAAACTTACCTCAACTCATTTTCTTTTACAAAAAATGAATTAGAAATACACCATTTAGAATTAAGTGCCAGTCTGCCTAAGGATCAGGCAATATTGTATTTTATTGAAACACACAATATCACAAAACTTCAACTCCTATACATTTTTAGAAACCTTACATGACATAAAGATTAAAAAATGAAACATTAGTAATATTTTATCATTGTAGTTAATTTCCTGGTACCTTTAAGTTAAGGCTTGTTCCTTATAGTCCTATGCAAATTTATGACTTTTGAAAATTAATTTATAGCTATTACCAGATCTGTATGATTATAACATCATGATTAATAAAACATATTAGCACTTGTAATTCTGTCCTCAATCTTCTTTCAGTGGGTTTTTTTGTTTTTCTGATAATATTGACAGCTAAAAAAATTCCCTATTTTAGCAAGTTTGAATAGAGTTATCTCCCTTTTAGGAACTCTTTGTATCACTAATCATAAACAAATGGAAGTCACAGTGACATAACATGACTAGCAGAAGTTGCAATTTTTCGATATTTTGTAACACAGAGTGTGGTTTATCCCCTTACTACAAAGAAGAATCAACTGCTACATCTATTGCACATTGTTGTAAAAATATTGACAATCATTTGGCTTCAGTTGGGCTGAAGTCAGATGAGATTCCTTCGGAGGGTCATTTGATATGCTTCAGGGTAGGAATTTTCTCTGCCTTGAAGTCATATTCTGTATGTCCCCGGCATCGATATGCCTTAGGAATTTGTTGGCGGAAAAAGGCAGGATGCGCACATCCTAACCACTCGGGGAAGGCAAAACCAGAGAGAGCAGTGTCGGTGGATATGAGTCGAGCCATTTCCATGTATAATGGAAAATTGGTGCCTGTTGGATCAGGTAATGAACAACAAATTTGTTAATAGCACTATTCTTTATAGATATAAACACTTTTTTCAATATTAAGAGGGTCATGCATCAATTTAAAAAAAGAAGGGAAAAAAAGGGGGGGGGTATAAATTCCACTTGTCACAAAAACAATAAAATGCCAAACTAAACAAAAGCAAAAGAAAATAATCTTAATGAGAATTTTTGCCTTTACATTTTGTGATAAACTATATTAGAGATGAAAAAACAACATGCCATGTGTAAGGTATTATTCAAAATCAAAACCACACTCATCTCAAGTTTACTGGCAATTCCTAAACTTGAACCTATTACATGTACATGTTTTATAAAACTCTGGAAAGTGTTTTTCACAATGGTATGGTTTCTTACATGGCACCCTATATCTACCATTGGCTGATCCAGTAATTTCATAAGTCAGGGCCCACTGACTGCCCAAGAGGGGGCCCGCTCCAGTCATGCTTCCGTGATTCTCTATATAAACAAAAAACAGTACTAGTGTTTGTACAACCATGACAACTACAAGTTTAAACTATTATATTTTATGTGGGTATATATAGATATATAAAGAAGATGTGGTATGAGTACCAATGAGACAACTCTCCATCCAAGTCATAATTTGTAAAAGTAAACCGTTATAATGTAGGTCAAAGTACGGTCTTCAACACGGATCCTTGGCTCACAAAGAACAGCAAGCTATAAAGGGCCCCAAAAAATTACTAGTGCATGTAAAACCATTCAAACGGGAAAACCAACAGTCTAATCTATATAAAAACAAGAAACATTTATGAACCACATCAACAAACGACGACAACCACTGAACATCAGGTTCCTGACTTAGGACAGGTGAAAATATGTACATATTTTAGGTCGTAACATTGCAAGTGTCCATTTTATGTTTCTATTCATCTAACTTATGGATTTAAAAAGAAAGAATAAGGGGTAATAGCACAATATTTTGTTTGAAAGAATATTGCATCAAAATATTACATGTACAAATGTATACCAGTGTGAGATTTTAGAAAACAAAACACAATAGATATTTAATTGTAACCAGTCTGATAATAACAGCTGTCATATACATGTAGCCAATACCCAATTTTGACTTGTATAAATAAATTATCCTGTAACCCCACTTCCATGTTGAGCAAGCTGTATAGTAAATGTTTTTTTTTTGCGTGCAAGTTCATTTTGGTGTCATCTTTGGGGTCCACCTTCCAGTTATGTCGGTTTTCTTTTTTTTAGAAAATCAGATACGACTACATGTACTTGGATTTACAAATGTAAACAACTACAGCTTCAAACATGTCTAGTGCCAATGTAAACACAATATTTGTTCATTGTGTGAAATATAAAATGTATTTGTACTCCCTCATACTGAACAGGAGAAAGCTTGGGAAGTCTCACATTTTGTCCTATTTCGAAAGCTTGTTCAAGTCTATTTTATATTTTCTAACAATATACATACAACTGTAAATCGACTTAATATGAATAGCTCACTGTTAGGCCTTCAACAATGATCACACATTAGAATTTCGATTACTTCATTGTGCACCTACTATAGTTATAGAATGATTTGGTTAAATGGAACACTTAACATTTATGATAATGATTATCATGATAATAGGTTATTTATTTTGTAGGCTCACATGTACATTCATAAATTTCCTACAGCCTCATTTGATATATTTTACTTGTAATAAAGTTTTTCTTTTCTTATGCAGGAATTTGCCGTAAATGTAGATCTGTTGTCTATGAACAAATTTCCAAATTAAACTTAGAAGATATTCCTTGTGATGTTTCAGAGCCTGAGGTTTGTAAAACTGTTTTCTTTTTATATGAAAATAAGAATGACTGTCAATATTAAAAATGCAAAATTAACGACCAGAACATGTTCATTTATTATGATTATTAACCCTTTTTTGTAGAAGAGGGACAAGCTGATCCAGATTTTTAATGTGCTATAGAAATGTGGTATGATTGCCAATGAGACACTCATCCACAAGAGACAAAATGATACAGAAAGTTCACAAGGTAACACTCCACATTTGCTGAGGCATGATTAGCAGAGAAGAAGCAAATACCAATTTCCAAGGCCTTCATTTGACCCACTTTTTGGCAAAAACTAAAAATAAAATTAGAGAGAAAATAAAAACAGAAAAAATTATATTCTAATCTTCAAGGTCGAAAATATACATTGATTGATATGAGCTTCACAGGCTCTAGTTATTTAGGTTTTTATTTTGCTTACAAAAACTCATATTTACTCCCTCTAACATGTCTAAGAAAACCAATTAGTTCATGATTTGATTTTTCAACAGTGTATATCTGAAAACAGAGAAAAAAACAATGGATTGTCACAAGTTTCAAACAGCACAGCTTGCGCAAGTAATAACTGCAGGGTAAGTAATAAAATTGAGAATGGAAATGGGGAATGTGTCAAAGAGACAACAACCCGACCATAGAACAGACAACAGCAGAAGGTCACCAACAGGTCTTCAATGCAGCGAGAAATTCCCGCAACCGGAGGCGTCCTTCAGCTGGCCCCTAAACAAATATATATACTAGTTCAGTGATAATGAACGCCATACTAAACTCCAAATTGTACACAAGAAACTAAAATTAAAAATAATACAAGACTAACAAAGGCTAGAGGCTCCTGACTTGGGACAGGCGCAAAAATGCGGCGGGGTTAAACATGTTTATGAGATCTCAACCCTCCCCCTATACCTCTAGCCAATGTAGAAAAGTAAACGCATAACAATATGCACATTAAAATTCAGTTCAAGAGAAGTCCGAGTTTGATGTCAGAAGATGTAACCAAAGAAAATAAACAAAATGACAATAATACATAAATAACAACAGACTACTAGCAGTTAACTAAGTGTTTGATTCCATAGGATTAAGTATAAAGATTTCATAAATAGGAAATTATGATCCAAGAATATGCAGTGATAAAAAATTAGTATCTACACAAAATATCGTGCTGTAAAGTTCACAGCTACCATACATTGCAATAATATTTAGTTTTATTATATGACCATAAATTTTCTGTTTTCTCATTGGATAAAAGCATAGGAAATCCTTTTTGATAAAACGTTATATTCACTGCGGCAAAAATAACGTGAGGTTAATAAAAGATTTAGAACAGCGTCCGTGTACCCAAATACAGTGAATGCTGGTGAAACATAGAAAACTGTTGTTACTATAATGCAAAAAGCTTCCTATTGTGAGTCATAGATTTTATTTGACAGTATCAATACACAGAAAACCTGATACATGTAATTGGTATTCTTACATATAAAACCTGCCCAGAATAGTTTCCACACGATGCAAGGTCACTTATAATTCTAATATTAGGAAAACTTTGTTACCAACACAAACATGAGGGTAGAAATGCCCTTAACTATCAGGCTTCAAATGGTAATTTTCAGCTACCGTTAGCTTCAAATTAGTTTAAAATTTTACTGTGATTCGTCAAAATATCCCTATCGTGACTCATCAGAGGTCTCAAATATTTATCGTTACCATTGTTTTTGTGGAAAAAAGCTAACGTGGTTCGTCAAAATCAGTCTATTTTTTATCGTCTTAAAGAAAGTGTACATTTTATCGTCTTTCACCAAAAATTACCATTAATGGACGTCATTTGCCAAGATTTTTTACAGTTATTTGTAATGAAGGTACCCCCATTACGACCCTCAAACATACATGTAGCTTTATAATACGATTAGTGACATTGTATACATGATGTAACAAAAAAAAAAAATACACAATCAATTCATTTTTTTTCTCACAAATACACAAAGAAAATTTGCAGTGAAATTAAAATTATTTATAAAAAAATGTTTCATTATCATTTAAATTTTATAGGAAGAAAAAGGAGGACCAGAATACTTATTCAGACAAAGACCAAGCATGCCTTGTATTCAACATAATAACAACAGCCAAGTAAGTGTATATATAACAGCAATGCAAACTATATCCACACTTTGGAGAGATTTATTGAAAATCCTCTGAAAACAATGTTATTGTTGCAATTAGACTATGAACAGCTCAGATAAAACTTTACTTTCTACTATGTTATATTATATTCCTTGCTTTATAAAGTGAATCTTATTCACCAAATGTGCTTTTGAAACTTCTAATCTATTTTAATCCTTATTATACCCCGGTGAACAAAGTTCCGTATGGTATAGTGTTTTTATACGACCGCAAACAATTTTTTGGGATCGTATAATGGTATGATGTCGTCGTCTGCGTTGTCGTCCGAAGACACATTGGTTTCCTGACAATATCTTTAGTTTAAGTGAATGGATCTCTATGAATTTTTTTAAGAAGGTTCAATACCACAAAAGGAAGGTTGGGATTGATTTTGGGGATGATGGTCCCAACCATTTAGGAATTAGGGGCCCAAAAGGGGCCAAAAACAAGCATTTTTCTAGTTTCAGGATATTAACTTGTGTATAAGTATTTTGATTGCTCTGAAATTGTACCACAATGTTTAATACCACAAGTAGAAGGTTGGGATTCATTTAAGGGGTTATGGGGCCAACAGTTTAGGAAAAAAGGGGCCAAAAACAACAATTTTTGTAGTTTCCGGACAATAACTTGTGTGTAAGTGTATGGATCTCTCTGACATTGTACCACAAGGTTCCATATCACAAAGGGAAGGCTGGGATTGAGTTTGGGGATAATAGCCCCAAACTTGTAGGAATTAGGGACCAAAAAAGGGCAAAAAACAAGCATTTTTCTAGTTTCCAGACAATAACTTGTTTTTAAGTGTATGGATCTCTCTGAAATTGTACTACAAGGTTCCATACTACAAAGGGAAGGATGGGATTGAGTCTTGGGGTAATTGCTCCAAGGGGGGTTTCCAAAAAAATTTTTTTGGAGGGGGGGGGATTTTTTTCCAATTCTTTTAAGGAATTCATATTTTTTTTCAAAATTTTCAAATTTCAAATTTTTGAAAAGTTTAAAGAAGAAATCTTCAATTGCGCAGTTTTGGGCAATAGATTTGTAAGATCTTTGACCACATTTATTTTGTGCCCGAAACCTTTATTATGTCAAAAATTTTATCACAATCAAAATTCAGACAGTATCAAGCTTGAATATTGTATCCAAATTTGCCCCTACTGTTCAGGGTTGGACCACTGCGGTCGTATCAGGCTGCGCTCAGCAAAGCATTTTATTTACCTGTACATCCGTCCGTCCGTCAGTCCTGTCCTTGTCATCACAACTCCTCTGAAACCACACAACAGAATTTCATGAAATTTTGTCGATAATAATGACTTACTATGCAGACGTGCATATCATAAGGAAATTTTTTCTAGGAGTTATGCCTCTTTGAACTTAAAATTCTGGCCTAAATATTCTACTGCAACAGTTTGTCATCGCAACTCCTCTGATTCACCACAACAGAAATTCATCAATCTTCGAAGTTAATTAGGAGATCAAATGTAGATCTGCAAATCAACAGGATTCAATTCTTTTTCTAGGAGTTATGCCCCTTTGAAGTTAACAGTTTGTCATCACAACTCTTCTGAAACCATGCTTTAAAATTTCATGAAACTTTGTAGATAATGAGGACATCCTATGTACATGTGACTGCTTATCCACAAGAAATTATGATTCGATTTTATTTCTAGTAGTTAAGCCACTTTCAACTTAACATTTTGGCTTAAATTTACTACTGCAACAGTTTTTTATGGCAACTCCTCTGAAACCACACATTGTTAATGATAAGGACATACAGTTGTAATATGTAGATGCATATCCAGAAGAGGTTTTTTAAATAAAGATGATTCCATGTACTCTAAAAGGTAAATGAAAATTACACAGTAGTATGACAATCAGACATGTTTTGCAAAATATTTTTTAGAACGATTATTCATGCTTTATAATTTATTTCAGGAATCATCACAGGACTTGCAAATGTCACAAACATCAAATTGGAGCGATGAAAATATAGCTATTGATTTGAGCACGTGTAACACTGTCTTTGCAACTCTAAGTAAGGGGGAAGTAAGTCCTTTGAAATATCAACTTCAAACTAACTTCAACTCAGTCACTTCGACAACACAAAGATATGTGGAACGTAAAGCTGATGAATTAATCTGTACTGTACTAAACGCCATTGCACCAGGCCAATCTAAGGAATTATTTGTTCATATGATCAACAAACATAAAAACATATCAGAACATGCAAATACTGAAGATAAATCTGTTGAATGTATGATAGATCCCTTAACTAAGCTGTATGAAGAAACTAACAACAACATTGTTAAAGAACAACTTCTTTCAATCATGGCATCCTACACTACAAAAGACACTTTGATGACCAAAATTCCCGGAATTACAAAATACAGGGTAGATAAAGTTAGGAAAATGACTTTCCAGTCTATTTACGATCAAAATAAACAACCGCCATCAAAAAGATTAAGAATGGACCCTGTCAAACTGGAACACGCTTTATCCTTTTTCTTCACGTCTGTATTCCACCAAATTGTTTCCTATGGGACTAGAGACTTAAAATTAGAGTCTGGTGAATCATTGACAGTCCCTGATGTTGTCAGAACTGCTTGCCATGCAACAATGATTCAAATGTATGAAAGCTTTTGTGAAGAGGATTGTTTTACACCTTTATGTAGATCGTCGTTGTATAACATTTTGAATGCATGTGCTGCATCTAAAAGGAGAAATCTACACGGGCTTGATAACATAACAGCAGATGGGCATAGTGCTATTGAATGCATAGAAGGTCTTGTTGCAGTTCTAGAAAAAGAAGGGGCAATAACAACTGAAAAGAAGACATCATTGTTGCAGCAAGTAAAAAGTGGAAAAAATTATTTAAAAGGAGACTTTAAATTGCATGTATCGAAGAGTTCTGAGTGTGCTGATCATTGCATTAGATATGGATTGAGTGACCCTAAAGATGTAGATTACAGATCTGACTGTCCCCACGAGCATACTGTTACATGTGATCGATGTGAAAATCTTGTCACATTATTTGAAGACATTTCTAAACTAGAATTTAATAGTGCAGAAGATAATGCAGAGTTCAAAAATGCAGTAGAGAAAATTAACAGTTGGAAATCACATATAATGAGAACAGTAAACCAAGATTTGAGTAGAACAGAATTATTTGACATATTACAACCACACCAAGTTCTTATAGTAATGGACTGGGCCATGAAATTTTTGCCAAGCTTGCATCGAGAAAAACAGTCTGACTGGTTTGGTCAAAAGGGCATTTCATGGCATGTATCTGTTTGTATTTTTGCAGACAGTATCCAAAGAAATAATGAGCAGAATGCAACAAACTTAAAGGTATGTGAATAATTGAGGAAATATATTTTGTTTTAAGAATAAGATATGGATATCCAAAATCATGTACCATTACCCAAAAATTGATATTGATCTAGTGACAATCTGATTATAAATGCTGTTTTATAATAATAGATTTCTGATCAACATAGTATTATGAGGCTTTTTCCATATCACTAACTATTAACACTCTACCGATATCATTCCTCAAGATAACACTATCATGCATTTTATTAGGCCAAAAAAAATAATATGTGTGTTTCCTATTACACCTTTGAAAAAAATAGGGTAGGTAGGGATTTCATTTTATTTTACCATTTTTTTTTTACATTGAGTCTACGGGAGGGACATTCTGACTTTAACAGTGGTTATTGAAAAATGACAAAATAAACTTTAGGGTACGCTATTTTTGAGCTAAAAAAAAGGGAGGGTATACGTAGGGTAATAGGAAACACACATATTTTTTTATCATGTTTATTTTGCCTTATGTCTCAGATTGATATGAAGAATCATTTAGATGTGATATGGTTAAATTACTTTGTGCCGGCTATAAGACGCTATAACAATTCAAACTAGATTAAAATGGCCTTTAATGTATAACAAGAACCATACACATAATTCATTTACAATAGACCAATAGATTTTTCATGTTCACCGTGCATGCAGCAAAATAAATTAAATTATTATATTGGTTGCAATGAATTACATTGATTTCCCAGTGAAATAAAACCTGATAATTTCACATGTGAAATAAACATGGTTATTTCACTCCTCTGACATCATACAACAATAGGCGTTGTCAAGACTTCGATAACGTCGGATCAAAACAAATTGTGAATGCGTAAAAAAAAGATATAGTTCCTTACATATTCTACATTGATTTCATAAAAAAAGCCATTTGCCAATGTAATAAAAAGAGTAACTAATCAAAGAATTCAAATATCGAAAAATATTCAACTTGTGACCGAACAACACTGATAATTAACTCATGCGCTACGTGCGTTCATGAATTAATGTGTTGTTCGTTCAATCATTGAATATTTTTCTCTATTTGAATTCTTCGATTAGTTATTCTATAAATTTTTTAACATTTCATGAGTATAAAAGAATGTGATAATGACTCTGATCAATTTATTTTATTTTTTGTTGACAGCTGTTTATATGATAATAATCTTTCTGTTGACAGCATCAAACATTTGTTCACATACTACAGAGTTCAAGTAAACAAGACTGGATTGCAGTGTCAAATTTCATTGAGCATATAGCAAATGAAATTAAAACACAGATGCCTCAGATAACAGAAATATTCCTACGCTCAGACAATGCAGGATGTTACCACTGTGGAAATCTCTGGATCTCCTTAAATGGAATAAGTAGTCGAACAGGTATGTTTAAGGTTTTTTTGTGGAGCCTGGGACTTCTGTCGCAGAAAGCTCGACATAGGGATAGTGATCCGACGGCTGCAGCGTTAGATAACATCTTGAAAGCTTTATATTTTAGCAGGTGGAAGACCTGGATGCTTCATACTTTGTATATATAAACCTTATGTACGAAGTTTTTGTCTGTCATATGTCCATTGTCTTTGACCTCTTTTTCATGGTTCAGTGACTACTTGAAAATAAAGTTAAGATTTTTTGTAATGTTAATTTTCTTTATTATTCATGTTATTAGGATTAATATGAGAACTATATTTAGTTTGTGCGTACCTTGCAAGGTCCTCATGCCCGTCAGACAGATTTCATTTGACCTCGACCTAATTTCATGGATAAGTGAAAAAGGTTAAGTTTTTGTGGTCAAGTCCATATACCGGTACTAGATACTATAAGCAATAGGTCAACTATATTTGTTTTATTGAACAATTGTAAGGTGTACATGTATTTCTCGTTACCATGACCTTATTTTCTTGGATCATGTTAAGTTTATTTGATACTTGTAGTTAGGCTTTATTATTAGGACTATCTACATAAAATCAATTGTTGGTAAAAAAGGCATTTCAGTGTGTGCACTCTTTTTTGTAAATCAAGATGAGACTTAAAGGTGTGTCTGTCCATCTAAAATTACATCTACAGTGGAATTGAATCAATATCAAGCATCAATCACTGACTGACTTTGGCAAACAATACATCTATATACATATTTTCCATGCCTGAAGGAGAAATGAAAATTTGTTCACCAAAGTAGATTCATGTATATCATGAGTGCTGTGCCCCAGGGAAATATGATTTTTCAAGGGTGAACAAATCTTTATATTTCCTAAAGCCAATGGAAATAAATGTTTTATTCCACTGCCTATGCTTTGTTTATTACCTGAACATAAAATAATAATTTACATACATTTTTTTTCTCATCCACATGTTTTTATAACTTTACAACATGACATAAACATTGATAAACAGTACAGATCAATAGTTATTTTTTTGTTTTTTTTGTTTTAACGTCTGGAATAAATTTGCATACGATAATGACTTTATCAGCTATTTTGTAAAAAAAACCCAAAACATTCAAAACTGTATGTACATTAACTGCGCATAGTCATATGATGAACTCCAGATCTTCAAAAGGAAATATGATGCTCAGGGGGGAACATGAAGTTTTATTCAAAACCACATGAGATATAGTCTTGACCAATCTATAATTGATTAAGCTGTCAATATGTCCTTGCAGTGGAATAAATATAATTATAAAAAAAAAGATGTGGTATGACTGCCAATGAGACAACTCTCTACAAGAGACCAAATGACACAGACATTAGCAACTTGAGGTCACTGTATGGCCTTCAAAAAAATAATTGTTTTTACACATTCTTGGTCAGATATTTTGTTTTTCTTTCTCATTGCTCTAATTTCATATAATTGCAGGATTGGTAATAAAAAGATATGACTATAGCGAAGCTCAATCAGGCAAATCTTATTGCGATGCCAAAATTGCTCACCTTAGAAGAAAAATAAAAATGTTTGTAGCAAATGGACATAATGTAACAACAGCAACAGACATGAAGTTTGCCATAGACGAAGGAGCTGGTGTAGCTGGTTGCCAGGTAGCAGTAGTCGATATTGAAACTACTATAAGTGACTTAAATAAAGTTAAGCACAAGTGGATAGGTGTTAGCAGTTTAACAAATGTAGAGTTCAGTGGCATATCAGCAATTCAGTTCAAGGCATACAAAATAGGCGAGGGAAAAGTTATGAAAGATGTCAATGCTCTTTGTTCTGCTGATTTATCACAACCTTCATCCGCTTTGAATGTTATTGAACTATTTGAAAAACCGAAGACAAATACTGGTTGCATCTCAAAAGCAAGAGACATTCCACCTTCTTCTAACACAAATGAACTGTTCTTATGTACAGAAAGTGGATGTGTATGTTCATTTCCAACATATTCAGCTTATCAAACACATATTGACTTTGAAAAACATATTTATAAATTGGAAAAAATGTCTACATATGACAGTATCAAAGTTCAGTGGGCTGACTCATGTAATAACCAGTATTCTTCTTTATCTATGGAGAGAGGAACTAGATCTGGAAATAATTCAGCATGTTTCTTAGATCAAGGTTGGGCGCTAAAAAAGGACAGAAAAGTTGTAAGATTTTCTGTTCCAGTAAAGGACTATCTTGAAAACATATTTCTTGAAGGAGAGAGGACCAGTAAAAAAGCTAATGCAAATGTTATTGCCCAACAGATGAGAAAGTTAAAGAATGAAGATGGACAGAGAAGATTTTCATTTGATGAATGTTTGCAACCAAGCCAAATTGTTTCATACTTCTCAAGATTGGCTTTGTTGTACAAACAAGGTAGATTGAAAGAACGTGCTCTACAAGTGACAAATATCTCAGTGGAGGACGATGACAATTTAACTTCAATTCTTGAAGAAATTGATATTCATGAGCTTAAGGAACAAATATCCTCAATCTAAAGGACAGACATATATTCACATCACATGAAAAGTCTTGATGACCTGAACAATCTGAATGCTGTTAATTCATTTTAAAACTATTCACTGGTTTTTATTATTTTATTATGTCATGAGATCGATTTGATATAACAAAATAAAAAGCATTTTGAAATCTGATTAGCCTATAAGCTTGCAGCTTTTCTTAAATGCAATGTTAAATGTATTGATCTCCCTTTTGGTCAGTAATTTTAAATGCACAACAACAAATGAATGCAATAATTCAGGGTTCTCACTAAGGCGAGTCCGTGAGTCCTGGACTCATGAAAATCTGTCAGGACTCGTCATTTTCAAAACTGGTGAGTCCAAAGATGCATCAAAATTGTAAATTGTTGTATCAATTGAACACTTAAATCATCATTTTATAACAAAGTTTAAAAATAATCTAAATTTGACAGCATTTTCTTGCTCTTTTTTGTCATGAAGACTGGAATAATAAATTTTATACCAATTAAATTTTATCTTCTCACTGTTGGACTCGCCATGGCCAAAAAAGACGAGTCCCTGGACTCGCCTTCAAAAATCCTTAGTGAGAACCCTGTAATTTCTGAATGTACAATATTCGTTTTCAAATTTGTTAAATGTTTATTTTGATGAAATATATTTCACAAAATGGGTTTTCACCATGATTTTTTTGTTCACTTAACATGGGAATATGGTAGTCTTATAATAGCACATTTAGAAATAAAATAATTAAATTTAAGATACTATGTACATGTACATTGTATATTACAATGAATTTTACACAACATAATAAAATCAATCAAATCCAAGAACACAGCACAATGTCAAGAAGTCAAACTCTATTGTAGGGTTATACCTATTTTCTTTTACCCTCTCCTTAAAGATTTTTTTGTTTTGATATGTTTTAATAAATTTTCCTTTCAATGATGTGCTGAGGGTAATAGACTTATGGATATAAAGGCCAAACAGTGTAAATTTCAGAAGTGTTTACTGTTAATTGTGTTGCTTGAATTTTTTATTAATCCAGATTTAGTAATTAGCTTCATTTTAACATCTTTCCAAGAAAGGGTCATAAATCAGTGCTTTTATTAAGTGTGCTGTATAGCATTTATTCGTGTTACTGTTATGATATATGATATCAATACATAAGGGAATTGTTGTTACTTGTATACGTGTATCTAAAACATACCCTTTTTTCACATTCTTTGTTGAAATCCAATTCGTTCTAAATATTATGTCTTAATTTGACTCCTTGCCACCTCAAAACATGACTTTGTAGTACGAGTTTTCTTCAATTACAATTTCTATTATATCAAAAATAAAATCATAAGCCCATATATAGTAAATGATGAATAAATCATACTCTTTATTCATCATATATATATATATATACAGGGTGTTTTTATTTCAAAAATATTGTTGCCATATATCTCTTTACAAAAACAGCATCATATTAACAATGATTAAAAGGAAAATGATTGGAAAATTAAGTCTCAGGGTTTATGCCCTTTGAAAAATAGCTATCTGAAGTACCCCCTGTCTTAGCAGGATTTTTGGGGGATGATGAGAACCCAGCAAATAATTTATTATGACTTTACCTGGATTTATATTACAGCAGCTCTATACAATAAAGAATTACACTTTAATAGAAATAGGATATTATTATCATTGTGTTATTTCAATTGTTGCCATGCAAGGAAATATACTGTTGCTATGGGCTGACCTTGTTGCTAATAAAATTAGGTATTGTATAGTTTACATTATATTAATATGACTAATATCTTATCTCTTAATTGCCACATTTTACAGAGGATTATATTTTAATATGGAAAAACTAAGTTTTCTGTACTTTCATTATGGTTGCTAAGGAGTGATTTGGTTGCTAGGTAATGTTTTCCTGGTAACTTTTGGATCAACTGACAACACAATACAATGAAAAACTTAAATATGTAATAATAACTCCATGTTTATGAATTTACACTTTACTATAGAATAAAATTTTTATAATTTTGATTTTGTGCTTTGTTGATATATAGTTAACTTCGTTGCTATGGTAACAAGTTGTTTGGAAAAAACCCACTGACCTTTTATGAAATATTCAAAGTGTTACCCCTACTTGTTTCATATTAAGTAATACCAAGTGTGTGCTGTTCTGGTAATAGAAAATATTTCAACTTGAATTGTGGCCATATTTGCATTATTTGTATATTATTGTCCCAAGAGACCATCCAGACCTCAATTTTTCTAGAATGAAATAGAATTTCTTTAAAACAGCTGTTTTTCAAGAATATTTAATAGTTGATCAAGTTGCAGTACAATGGAGAGATACTAAATGTTATATAAACAGCAGATTTAATGAGACTGAAATAGTGAAAAACTGTTGGTTTTATGTTAACCTCCATTACTTGTTGCTTTGGGAAAATGAAATGGCCCTGTTTCCATAGCAACCATATAAAACTGCTCTGAAAAGTATTTTTTTCTTTATAACATGTTATTCAGATGATTTATGCAAATTTTCATCAAAATCTGAGACTATCATGTTTGGGTCACTGCCTGATCCTTAGGCAGACTGGCACTTAAACAATAATTAATCTGTTTAATTCATTCATAACTTATCATGTATTAATAGAAATATGACTTGAACATTTTTCTATTATCAAACTCCGCATGTCTTTGAATGGCTGCTTTGTTGTTGGTTTGCTGCCTCGTTGAATTCCAACCTGTATTTAAAATATTTTGTCAAAATAAACAAACACCAAACTCGCAGGAATGAATAGATCTAAAAGCATGAAGTAGTGAGATTTATTGATTATTACTTGATTAACGGACACTGGCAAATATTTCATGCATATGCATAACGAACGTACTATGATATAGACAGAGAAGATAAAATAACTAAGGCTTAATTGATACAGAATTAAAATGGCGATTATCAGATGATTCGATGAATCCATATCCTGCTCCGTTGTTAAATCTGTTCAAACAAATTCTTAAGGACAAAAAAAAATAATGAAATGGTAAAAAGTTTCGCCGCTAAATACAAAAAGTAAATCGATAAAGCATAAAACCATGAGAAAAAAATTTTTGAAAATCTAAAAGACAGAAAATTGTAGTCATAATTTTCGACTGTATCTTTCAGGTCACACATTGAGCTGAATAAATTTGTTGAGGGCTTCCCTTTTGGTCGTGTGGGATGTATAAGTACGCAGCCACGTCCGAAAGGAATAGGGACTTTGAATTATTTAATAAAGAGGTTAAATCTTTGAATATATATGCGAACATAATATGTTCATGTCGAAATGGTGGAACAGACCATGGAAGTATTTTGTTTCATTTTTATATTTCATTTTACTTACATGAACAGACTAACCTCTCTAGACAGTTTTTGGTAAGATGTCAAAAAACTTTAAAAAAAAACAAAAAATCAAGTGAAAGTATGCTATTAAGCAAGAAGCTGTGTATATGATTACACCAATTATAATTACTTGACAAACATACATGTGATTATTGAGAATATGTACTTTTCAAGCTATAAATAAAGTAATAAGTTCCCATCTAATTGTTAAAAGTAAGCCTCATAAGTGATGCTCATACTGGTAAATTAAGAAATCATTTGTATTACGCAAAAATATAAATATTACATAATACTACATATTGTTGTCTTTAGATTTAAAGTTCGTTTCGGCAATTTGTTATTTGGGAGGTTTTATTATCAATGGAAAATTAAAGAAGATATCCCAAAATTTTAGCAACAAAACGCAATGCGTTCAAAAAATTCGTTTACGCTAACGACCCATTTCCTCCACTCAAAATTGTGGCAAATTATAATTATTATAAAAATAAATAGGCAAAAAAGCGCGGGAAAGATCAAAATCAAATAAGACTGCTTGACACACGTAGCTTTACTGATTGCTGACAAAATAAAGAAAATATTTGTTTTTGCATCATCTATTTACCATGAATGACATATATTAACATTTAACATATTTGTTTCATTAAAGATGACTTTTCGAAAAGAGGGAAACATTTCGATCAAAAGAAAATGTGTTTCTTTACATTTCTTTGATATTTTAAGTTAACTGCCTGGTAAACTTTCTTTGTTGATTTTCCTGTCAAATGTGCAGACGATTTTAAGCTAAACATTTCAAATTTAACTAAAAATAACGCTGATTATATGCACATGTTTAAAAAGTGTGTTTCAAAAAACTACAACATTATTGTGTGGTCTTCGACGAGTATCGTTTTTTTGTAACACAATGAGTTTTAAAATACCACAGTGAGTTGTAAATGCAGTAAAGAATTTAATTTAATGAAACTTAAATTTTCGTTGATTTCTTTCTTTCATATTTGTTTTTCGCTTATTGCTATGTCAGAAATTAGGTAGCTTTTTTTCTTGTTTAAATTGTTTCATATTTTGTCATGTCGGGTCTTTTATATAAATGACTGTACGGTATAGATTTTGCCACAAGGTGACCTACAGTTCTGTTGCATATATCAACGTCATTTAGACTCTGGTATATAGTTGTCTTGGTATCAATCATATCACATTTCCGTAATTTTGTATTACTGTTTTCGTTGCTAATTTTAATATTCAACAAAATATTAAAATGTTTAATATCATGAAATATTCATTTTTTAATGTTAGTGATCTGTAAATGAACCTAAGCTTGTCCTCTAACCGACCATAATCCACAAATGCATATTGGCATTCCGAGCTCTTTACCAGAATATCTCCGGATGACAGTTTTGTAGAAACTGTACCAACCGTTTAGCAATGTTTTCTACGATTGTTTTCACAAGTTCAAAAAGTCAACAAATTATTACGTCATTTCATCTTATGATGTCAAGATTTATCTTTGTTCGAACATCTTCTCCATACAAAAAAAAAACAACAAAACAAATAGCCATTATGTTATCACGTTTTTCTTTCACTTGAAGAAATACGTCTTTTAATTTGATTGGCATGGTGTGTTTCAATATCTTTACATAGACTTATTTTTAGAATGATTTCTCTTATATTTCCTAGTACGGAACATCAACAGAAATGTCCGGTGTCGATGAAATACAACTTTTGTTTCTAATTTTGTTATGACGTCAAGCACGTGTAGTCCATGTTTTATTGGAATGTAGAAAATATCTTTGTTAAAATAGTGCATCATATTAAAATTGGAAACGTAGCCATGTTCTATTTCCAATAGAGCATATAGAACATAGGGTGCACATGATTGACCGTCACAATCAAAATTGCAACGTCAATTTTTTTTATTTTATTAAAACAGTTTTAAAATGATGACATATATATAATATTCTCACTGGCGCTGTCACATTGATTCATTTCAGAGCTCTCCTCACTTTGTAGTAGACCTAACAACATGCATATCTTTTTTTATATATATTTTTAATGTGTTTATATCAACAAACCATCAATGGTATTATGTCTGTTATGTTTTTGAACTATTGTTTGTCTTTTCTGTTTTCTTTCTTTTGGTCTTGGTATTGTCTATCATTCATTGGTTGTTGATTTTTTTATTGTCCATTTTATATATTCCTGTGTTTTTATGTATTGTAATTTACACTCGCGGTTGATATTTTATTACACATTTACAGAGACAATTTCTAGGAGTATAATTATACCATAACTTTACATCTATGACATGACGTCACATTATGACAACATTCACAACTTCAAAGGGTTCAGTTGAGATAGTTAAACAGGTTTTTCTGTTTATTTTCGGTTTTAGAAAAGAAGGCAATAAGATTTATAGTTACCATACAACTTTGACAAACGTCAAAAAGTCGTAAAATAATTCTCCAAATAACATTTGAGGAAAATGCAAATAGAAAATATTAATGTCAGGTTTCTTTGATCAGAGTCGAATTCCCCAAGAGTAAAATACTGCCTGTAAATATAAATTACATAGCAATTTGCTTATTTTTTCTTTCAGTTACATGATATAGCTATTTCATTTTATAGGGCCTTGTAGGTTTAATTCCGTTTTTTTAAGAATTATATACAATTATTGACCTTTGATTGATGTTTGCTTTACGCCCAGTGGCTCATATTTTATGGATGTTCAGGACGAGGACCAATTAACAATAAATACAATATGTATAGGTCTTGTAATAGACGCCGTCCGGGGTGAAGGTCGGGAAATTTAGTTTGTCATTGATAAATGCTATGAGTTGTTGCAATTAAGGGTTCGTAAATTTCAGAGAGCGTGACACCCTCTCTACACGAGGCAACGGATTCAACGTCTCTATTCTGACCGAATGTGGCTGTTTACATCCCATACAGCCAAAATGACGCCACATTTTAGTTTGGGTTTTACTGGCCGGTCGGAAGATGACCAAAGTGAACACTCTTTCAATGATTTATCAAACCCAGAGATATGATATTAACCGAGGCCTATGGCCGAGGCTGAAAATCATATATCTTAGAGTTCCTAAATCATTGAATCAACTGATATAAAAAATCAACAATTGTTTTATTCTATGAATTATTATTACATCTCCAATTTTTGACTCTCAAATGTTTCAATTGTGCTTTCCCGCCGAAGCTAAATCCAGAAAAGCGCTTCAGGCGTACTAAATTTATATACAGTGTCGTTTACATATATATGTTATACCGTGAGCTCTTTAGACTCTACCGATACATGAACAAAATAGGTACAGATGATGTATACCTTCGCGCGTAAAAATAAGAAGATGTTAAAAATTGCTACAAATGTAGTCTGGTGTAGGGAATGAGTATTATGGCACTAACGACATACAGTCTAACTTATAAATTCATAGATTTCACAACTCACCGCTTCAACGATATAGATTTTACATTTACATAACAAGATAAATTTATACTCAACATTTTATAGAGTCAATAAATTACAGGAGAAAATAGAAAAAGGAAATCATCGTGTAGATGAATTGAAGCACTTCGGTCCTCCAAACTTTTATTTATTTTTTGAGAGTCATCGATAAACTAAGAAAAAATGTTTAATCCCTATTTAACACAAAAG